TACTTTACACCTGCGAAACATGGCCACTAAGAGTAGAAGATATTCGTAAGCTACTAGTATTTGACCACAGATGTCTCAGAAATATTGCTCACATCTGCTGAGATCACAGGGTAAGTAATGGTGAGGTTAGACACAGTGTACTAGGGAATGATGGTAAGTCAATTGATGAGGTTGTGAATCTTCATCGACTGAGATGGTTGGACCACGTGTTACGTATGCATGAACACCAAGTACCACAACGCACAATGCTGATTAGTGTTGGGGATGGTTGGAAGAAAGTAAGGCGAGGCCAAATCAAAACGTGGTATCAGTCCACAAAGTCACTAACTTCTAATCCGAGCCATGTTGGTAGATGCAGACTACTTGGTTGGGGTCAGCGCGACTATCGTAACCAATGGTTGGAGACTGTGTGTGACATGGCTCAGAATCGATCACAATTGCGTAGATGTATACACTCTGTCTTCCATTAAACTATGAGATTAATATTGCTTTATATTTTTCTTTCTACTAAATAATTCTTTCTTCCTGTACTATGTCCATATATGTAATCTTTCTTTTATATATTACCACCATTGAATTAACTACTTCTACGAATTCGGTGTTCATCTTGTTGTGCTAATGAGTAAGGTGTGGCAACTTGGACCGATGCATATATGTGCCTGGTCCTGCGTTTTAGCTGACTTATTGGCACACCGAGTTGAAATACATAAACCTAAGAACGATGATGGATTAAAATAAATGGTTTATCAAGAATCACTCTTAAATATATATTATTTATGAGTTAAATTGTTAAAAAGGAACAAATAAGTGCGACTATAGGAACCATTCACATATATTTTGACCGTGTATTTATTAAAGACCTAATTCATGGTAAATTTATGATTCCCCCGTTATCAGATTTTATTTGATTATTTTTTTATTGTCTAGTATTCCTTCCATACACTACCTTATTCAACATATTCAAAATCAAAACAAAAATTTGAAGCAAGCGAAAATATATCCCAAAAAAGCGAACACAAGGAGTCAGTAAAATGAAAACTTAAAGGTTTATACAATGATATACAAGGGACTTGGTTCGACAACATATTGAATAAGTTTTGTATGGTTAACAGCATCTTTCAATTGTCATAAATTGCAGCACATTAATCGTACGTCAGTTACAACATTTTATTATCCATGTTTTCATTTCTTTTAAATTGAGATTCATTATTTACAGTCCTTCTTAATCTTTGATTTTATGCACAGAGTTAAATGATTTTTAGATCCTAAGTGGCACAGAATATTGTGAGGCGCTTGCATGGTCTTGATGTTGTTCTGATTGATATTCTGGAGAAGCGGATTAGAATAACACACGGGATGTTTGCCGTTCTAGAACGCACCATAGTGTTATCAAACTAAGTCAGTGGACATAGAAAGAAAATTCACAACATAAAATAACCATAATAGCATCTTAGGACACATGCAATTTGACCAGAATTAATGCTATGTCTGCTTTATTAGTATTAGATTCCAAGAACTTATCTATTGGAAATACTTTAAACTGTCAAAAAATAAGCCAATAGAAATATTCCTTCTTGTATGATGTAAATATTTTGGTAATAAAGTTATGAACTGAAAAAAAATTTATTAAAAACCCACTAATTTACCAGGTGTCTCGGTATGAGCCACATTCTAGGTGTGAGGGTTAATGATACTACATGGTTATCCGGACGAAGGTAGATAAGGCGGAGTTCGAGCCTATGAATTCGTGACTGAACGTCCAACCACTAGGCCATAGCCTCAAAAATGACAAAAGTAATTTTAATTAAAGCCGTATATGCCTAATTTTTCTTTATGGTCTGTAATATCCTGACAGCAGAATGTGTATGAAGAGTGTTTATGAATCATTAGGTACGCATATCCAGCCGTCCACTGTTATAATATGACCCTAGTCGGACTCTCACACAACAGCTAAAAGTGACCATACCGATGACATCGATCTGCAAGGTGATTTTCTGTCAGCTTAAACTATTTAAGGAAATATAAGCTAATTGACTGAGACCGTCTAGATTACAGTAAGATTTGGAAGTAAATTAACGCTACACTAAATCAATCACTCCGTGACAGATATATTCAACCTTCATTTTTGTCAAAATCTTGAACATCTTACTACTTTAACTATTCCAAATTTCTATATCTATATTTCGATGTCATTTCATTTCTGTTATCGATGGAGAATGCTGGTGGACAGCCTATGCTCCTCCACGCGGGGTAACAGGAGTAAGTTATTTGTGTTAACTGTATATTTCTGCAAATGCGAGACGTGAAAATCCGACTCGACTTACTTATGTACAGCGTTCCACTTGACGGTTTTCTCATGACCATGAATCCTATTAATTTAGGTGCTAAGTATATGTCAGAGAATATGAGTAAAATATTAGACGCTCATGCAATTACGTAAATGTGACCTCATAATCCTTTTTAATTGAATATACTAACTGCATGACTTTCGACAATTATTATACGACTAGATCTTTCAACAACAGTTTACCGAAGATTCTATGTCCGATCGCCTAATTATAATTATAAAATACATCATATCATATAGTTTTTATTTAGGCCAGATTGATTTTTGCACATTCAAGTTATTGAAATACTAGGTAAGTATTTCCACCTACTCAATAATCCAGTCTTTATTATACTTCTAAGTAGTTAATAAATATTACATATAGTTTCTTACCACACCTTGTTGGTATCAGAGTGGTTTTTGCAATTAATGGGTGGTGTTGGGTAATGTGACTCAGTTTCTTTTGAGCCATGAATCCTAGGATTCTTTTATGCATACCTTACCATTCTTTCTTGAACCATATTCACATTGTTTTAGTATCTATCACTATCATCATTAATTTTTTCTTTCCATCCTGATATGGTATGGCAGTTTAACCTAACGCACAATTATTCCATGTTTTCCGTTTATCATAACTGCCTAACTTTAACTGATAGGAAATTAGGGTCAGTCATCATGAGCACAGGGTCCAGGAAGAATGTGCGTCGGTCCAAGTTTCCATACCTCAAGTCAACACAGAGAGGAGAGCAACAAGATGATAGACAAAGGATGGAAGGTAATATCAATACTAATAAAAATTTAACGAACGATTATAAGTAGCACTGTCTGACGCGTCAACACTCGATACAGTAGATCATGCAGTTCATCTGATTATCAACCTCATATTGAAGACTTATTTCCTGAAGCGAAAATTGTACGAACTACGTTCAGAAACGGATGGTAGAAAAGAGCTCTATGAAGGGTTACACCACAAAAATGACGCATCAGCTTATTGCCTAGATATTTACAAAATTTTAAACTGATAGTTGTATATGAGATACTCCTATATTGTACAAGTTGAGCAAGGAATAAAAAAGTCCCCTTACTTATGAAATCATTTATTAGCAAGCGCAAAAATGACGTTTACGCAATTTGTCACCGAAACTTGTAACTGTCTATTAAACGATTTACCAACTTCAATACTCTTAGGTGGTAGATGTTTATGAAGTTTTAAAGAGTATTTAACGTAGTAAGTTTACTATAGTTGCAATATATTTGGACGATAGGAACTCCTAGTAAACTAAAAACACTTGCGATAAGATATCCTTTGGTTGTAGCAGACATTGGAACCACTAACCTGGTGAACCAATCTGGGACCTTCTTCCTTTATGTCGTGCTACTGTTACGAAAATTAGGGTCACATGAACTACGAGAACGTCCGTCATAGTTAACTTCAGAATGATCTCTAACTCATATATCGTGACCCAAATGAAGTGACTGGTTAGAGGCTGTGGATTATCATGCCTGATAAAAGTGAAAGCAGTGGGTTAATTTTTTGGGACTAGGATTGATGTAGCTTAAAACCTGTCACATGTAATTGTACTTCATTATTATTCCATAATAGCTTATTATTTATATTCTTAGACAAAGCCCCAACTTTATTTTTTCTTCACTCACTGTTGAGAAGAGTAGCAATAATAATTATAAGTTATATTAATGTGGGAAGTGCTTCGTTGTATCAGCCTGTCGTTCCCCCAGACATATTAGAATCTTGAAGTTAGGAACGATTTAGTAATCACCCATGTCCATGAACTAGGTTAAGATCTAGAGGATAACATCTAGGTGCCGCGATCCAATTACGAGCTAGACAGTTTAAACCCTTACTTCACTACTAATTAAGATTGAATAATTTAAGTACGTTACTTAAAATCAGGAAATTAATTAATCCCCTTACCAGGTAACTTGGTATGAGCCACAATCTAGGTGAGGAATAATGATGCCACAAAGTTACGTAAACCAAAGTAAGTGGAGCGGTGTTCGTACCAGCGAATTAGCGTTTATAACCTCAACACCTTCACCACTAAGATGCCCTCATTTACTTAACCTTGGTTCAACATTTAAATATTAGCGAATTTTTAATATAATTGAAAAACCAATTACCGTTCGTGTACGTTATACTCGCACAACTCATTCGTAAGAGGCAGCAATATCAATAAAAATTGGATTACTTAAGAACACAGTGCAAACATGACACGGTAACTAAATGAATGTCAAGTGCTGTAATTAATTTACTACGTCTTTGTTATTTAAACATTCAATATAAAATAATTAATTATCTCTAACTAGTTTCTTCTAGAACTTTCAAGGATCTTCTTAAGTTTTACATTGGTACTATTATGGTTATTCATATTAAGTTTTGTTTTATCAGTATGTGGTTGTGGAGATAGGTTTTTGATTGAGATCACGAGTCGATTGATGTTAGGCTACCATTGAAAACCTGAAAGTACTGAACTATGAGGCTTAAAGTGTGCCAACTTGAACAAAATTTGATCTAGGTCTTAAGTTGTTTCTATGATTATGTATGTAAATTGGTGAGAACAAACTGCACAACTTTACAGTAAATAGTGGACATACAATTAAATTGTTCCAGAATACTGACCCGTTAAATATGGGAACCAAGGATTAACAAATATTGTAAAGAATAAACAAAAAGATGTAATATGAAAAGTACAAAATCTATGTACAAAAATTTCCCGTAAGTTTACTGTTTAAGATGCTAAGATAACTTCAGCCTCATGTACAAGCTGTTGGTAAGTTAAATCTTTTTCTATAGAACCCAGTGATATGAGCTGTTTTTCTTTTTCGTCAATTGACTTAACGAGATTTTTAATTTTCGAATGTTTTTCGCCTGTTGAATAGTATAACCTTACTGATAATCGCCCTTTTAAAACTGCCAGTTCAAATGTCGATGCAAATCCTTGATCAACACCAATATTAAATTCGTTTTGTAAAACAACGTCACTTTTGGCGAAATATCCTTCTCGTATACCTGCACTATAAACCTCCTCAGCACGACGTTCCCAGTCTCGTGACCCAACTTCTAACTCTGAATGGACATCAGATATTTCGCTATTGAATACATCATCCATAGAAATAAACTATGTGCACCTAAAAGTGGAAATATATGGAATCTGTCACTGAAATCAAAATAAACTATGAAACTAGCCACCTGTAACAGATAGACTAAGAATCATGATTTGAATGTTAATTAACCAGTGTACAAACCTGACTAAATATGCGGATTTAAGGAATAAAAGTAGGTATTGAATGCACTATATTGATCAGTTACTGATAACTACTTGCAGATCTTTCAGGAGTAAGATCGCATAAAGAAGAGGCTGTTCAAAAAAACATACCGAACTTCACTGGAAGGCAGAATTTGCAAAAAAACCAATTATTTTTCTAGCATACCTTTTAAGGATGCTTTAAAATTAGTGATGACAGTAAATACTCTAGTAATAGTTGCCTGTTTAGGTCTGAGAAGGGAAACTGGATAAATCCAAAACGGAGATTTAAAGATCAACATTGACGAAGTAACAGAAACAATATGTTGTTTTGATCCAGAAGTATAAATCTGTGGTAAATCTCTCAGAGGGTCCTAAGTTTTCAAATAAATGGATTCGAAACTAGATTTATCATATATGACTAAGATTGACTTAGTAGTGAAGTCTTTAGCATATAGACACTAAGTATGCTTTGTTTCGTGTTTGTGACCTTTTGGTTTAGCTATCGCTTTCATTCTTATTTAATTTGGCCAGAAATACAACAACCTGAACCAACATAATTTTTGAAGTCCTCAAGTATTTATTTAACAAAAAGCGTAGTTCCAATCCAGTTTGTTGGATTTCTAAGCATACCAAAATCCATCTATTCAATAAACTAAGACCCAAACACCAGTATACTCAACAGTGTGACATTAGTTCCTAACTTGACAAAATTGTGTTTCGTAAAGTGCTAGTTCAGGAAGTGTTAACGTCGGTATATATAGTTCCAGAAAACTACGGTAGTTTTACTGGTTAGTGTAATAGTTATTATTTAAGTATAACAACCCAGTCGTAGTTATATGTCTGAATCTATAAAGCCCTTTACTTTTATATTAAACTCAAGGTGTGTTCTATCCCAGATCTTCATACTTGAATAGAAAACTTATCAATGACAATGTTACTATACGTCAACATTACTTTGAAAGTGTAAATATAATCACTTATAGGTAGTGTAATCTAGTTTTAGGTAGTCATATGTAAGATGCATTCCTGTAATTGTTAATGCAATATAACTAATTAGACGCTCAGACTAAGGTAGATGAAGCACAGTTCAAATAGACAAGCCAAACATTTAAAACACTTTGACACTAACTTATCGATCTACAGTTACTTAATGCTCACATTATATTATTTCGGTAGTAAACATTATGAACAGCGAAACTGCTCAGTCCTAATCCCTGTCACTTAATAAAGTTATATTTTTTTAAATCCATAGTCACGTTGAAAGCTGAAATGTACTTCTTTGGCGATGAACTAACCAATTTGAGAGAATTGACTGTCTTAACAATCAAGTTATGGTGAAATCTTATGAAACATAGGGACTGATGTTTAAGAAAATCTATATAACCATCTGAAACATTGCAAGATAAAATTTTAAGAGAAAAGCAGCGAGTAGATGCTGGCATGTAAATCTAATTCCTCCTATATAAGTGTACACGACTACACACAAGCTGTTGGTCTGGATAATAGAATAACCAATGGACACAACTAACAAAGGTGAACTATAATACCACAATGATTAGGACGTGTGGAAGTGGACTTTCAGATGTAAATGCTTCGAAATATGCCTTGTTACAATCCACACATCAAGTGATATATTACAACTATGAAAATTGGTGGGCTTCAACTAAACGGACTACACTAAACTACGTTTTGGCCAGCGAATAAAATGACTGATTTGTAACTTGTCATATGACAAGTTACGAAATTCCAGTTAGTAATCAACCTTACGATGAACAAAGGGAATGTACATGGGAATTATAGGTTTTATTATCACGCCCTGAAACCTGCTTGAATGCCAAAATGCGCTGCAGCTGATTTGGTAAGTGAACCTCGCGTTGCAATCCGAATGATCCGTCATCTCAAGCATTAAAATTGAGGACAAAACGAATCAATTTGGGTGCATTTTGATAAGATGCAAAATAGGACCCAAAGTTGACCCAAATGTGGGATTTTTACAGGTTCACCAACCTACTATATATATATAACTTTGTTACTGAAGACTGATTTAAATCACTCTGATTTTTCATGTAATCACACAAAACTTTCACGCCTACTAAGTAAATGATACGAATCACTAAACTTTGGATTTTAGGTTGCAGTTATATGAAATTTTAAATCTGACTTTTTAAATGTCTACCTGTAATAAAGGATTTTTCAAAAGTTGGGATCTATGGCTGCTTCCGAAATTTCCGTATTATGAAAGCGACACGTTGAGCATGAAACAGTATATTAGCAACGAAGGTCAGTTCTCAGGTTATTCAATTTGGTATCCACTGCAATATGTTACGCGAAACACCGAATACACGTGCTGACGGCGCGTCAGACCCTTTCAAAGACGCCCGCTGTTTTCTTACAACGACCTTGATCATTCCGTCATTCCGTAATTCAGTTGCCATGGGTTTGTTGGGTTGCATGAATATTAAGTTTTCTCATATATAAGTCGCCTTTTGCTGCATTAAAAATCACAAAATAACTGATGAAAGCAATAATTTAGCATTTTCTATTTTGTAATGTTCACGTTGGTTCTATTGTTGCTTCGTAACTACATCTGTGATCCCAATTGCTGAAGTGGATGTCAACGCCTTTGTTTAGTTTTTGATAAGGTACAGAAAACAGCGTTACAAAGATAAGATAGACTTAGAGGTTATAGATACGCAAAGTCTGTGTGGATCGCTGTTAGACTCAAAAGTTGATACGAAATGTCGAAAAAACCGGTAAGTCTTAAATATTTGTAGTACTCCCTTTAGTCAGTAAAGTATTACTTCGAACAATAACTTTTTTCATAATTAGTGAGGGCTGTTTGTAGTGCTTCATCTTCAAGAGACATTCCAGTCAACCTAAGCGAGAAATTTCAATGTATTATACTGATCAGGCGTTTCGGTATCTGGATTGAATTTGAAAGTGCGCTGAAGGGATTCCAAAAAGTATGGAAGAATAATTTTATCCCTTCTCAGACTATCCATACTTATTATGTTCACACAGAAGGTAAAGTGCTGAAGGGTAAAAGGTTTGAATATTTGTTTGTGATGTCTCATTGCACTTTTGGTCATAAGCGTAAGTCAGGTCGGATAGTGAATCAGAAACCGTGAGAACTTTAACTAATTTGTAACGTTTAAGATCTAAGTTTCTAAAATGCCAATCAAGGTTCCGTGTAAGATTGGAAGATGAAGGGTATGTCATAAAATCATACAAGATGCTTGATAATCTTGCTTGCAGTATTTCATGGATGGTTTGTGATCCATGGACCAGAAGGTTGTTGTCAGAAGTAAAAGAAAATTTGAAGCCGGTGATATTGCAGTTAAGATCAACAGATGAATTAGTAAAATGTATCAAGGATCGAACTGGTAAGCAGGTCACTGCTGCTGATGTAAAGACTATGAAAACTCGACTGTCTACAAGTAAGTGTATAGAAGTATATTTCAGGTTGTTATACGCGAATGTAAATAATCGATATGTTGCTGCAAAAGTGTGAAGTGACAGAGTATCCAGAAAATGGATATGCAACCAGAATATGCTTCAGTACTTATGAGCAGATACAACTATATAATAAATATCCAGAAGTTGTGTGTATTGATTCTACGTACAATACCAATATTAAAAAGATTAGGCTTTTTGTTACGTTCTACTTTGTAGATATTCGTTATTCCAGTTGGTAGTAACCGATAATTTTGGACGAGGGTGTCCTGTTCTGTTTGCATGAGCGCGAAAAGAATAGCGGGCAGATGTAACGTGGGTCGTGGAAAAATTCAGAGAATCCATAGGAAATACGTCAAAAACGCAAGCAATTGTTACGGACTGCTCACCAACCGAAGGCGTGCTTGCCCGTATTACACACGGTAATGCAAATATTATTTTGTGCTTCTCTCACACATGTCGCGCTTTCCGTAAAAACGTACACCTATCATGATTTTAATGTAATTGCCTTTAGACTATTGATAAAATCTTGAGAACGTACCTCAGTAGATTAGTTACCACAGAAACTGTTGGAAGGTATTGGTTGAAAGGTATTTATTGCGTAGGTTTATTCAATATTTCAGAGTTATTAACTAAAGAGACAGACTAGTGGGTCAGTATCTTCATCGATTCTGGATGTCTCGTAAAAGTATGTGTGCGGTAGCATTTAGTGGAAGTGTTTTGACTCCCGGAAACAACACGAATAATCTTGTGGAGTCACTGAATCGCTAAATAAAAAGATATGTACGCAAAACTGCCAGCCTACACAAATGTATATACAAGGTTTTCAATCAGCCAGGAAAAGTATTGCAGAAGCCATAATAGCCGGAAGATGCTGTAAGCCTAGTGCTTTACGACGACTACTTCGTTGCTCAACCTCCTAACACCATTTGCGCGGTCGAAAGTTTTATTGGAGCTCGAAAAGATGTGTTTTGTTTGTGTTGAATGTAAAAATGGTAATTGGTTGTTCATGATTGACGGCAGAAAGTACTATGAAGTGGGTATAAGCATTTGCGAATGCAATAGCAGACCATTTGTTACATGCCGATATCGTTGACGCCATATGCTACGCTCTGACAGCGTGTTTGATTAAGTATAGCACCCTGGAACAGTCCAATAACTAATAAATGTGTAGCGGTAAATAAATGCTTAAAATAAATAGTTCCGTAAGTCCTCGACATTGATGTCAAACAAATCCTTGCCTAAGGTGCTTGTTCGAAAATCTACATCAAATCTCCATTGAGTTCATCATTTGAAACATTTGGCATAAATCACATACCTTCAACATATCGCTGAGCTTCCAAACATTCCATTGTCAATAAGTAGAAACGAAAATATTTTGATGGTTTTGCATGGAATAGAAGAAGCTTTTGCTTAACGAGCTTCCATTTCTAGTGGTTCTAGTTCATATATTACACCAAATATCTCCCTAAATATATAAGATAAATGAAAGTAGTAGAAATATTGTTAACACTGAATATATTACTGTTCAAAGTTTGTAAGGATATAAAGCGTTTCTTTACAGGGTCGAACAAGGATTGTAAATTAATGTGAAGGACTAGGATTAGGAGTTACGGTTTGCAATACTAACTTACATCAGTTGCAATGCCTAAATGTTATCTTTCTCAGTTGAGATGTACACAATTTTGTCACGTCAACTAACTGTATCGTAGGCCGGAATATCGGTCAATTTTACGTTCATTTAATGAATGACTGTCAGATTTTGATGTACTTTTCATAAAAGAAATTAGATTATGCTGTGGCTGTAATTTTTATTCGCTACTTCAGGCAGTGTTAGACAGAAAATGCTCAGTAAATGCAGGAATAACATCCTATGTTATAAAAAGCTTTGCAATAGTTGTAGTTGTTCCAAAGCAAACCGTCAGAGAGAGAAAAGTTTGATGGTAAATTTAGCCCTCGTTGTTGCACTGTAAACCATGTTTCGATGCTCAAATGAATGTAGTTGTTGGTGTTGAGACAATATCATGTGCCTTAGGTATATCTTATCAGCTTGTAGTTTATTTCCGGGGTTTATAAGCTTAATCATCCATAGTCAGTTATTTTAAGTAACATGTCTACCCAAATGAGACAATAATTCTGGCACATCTTTAGTTTAGTATTTTTGATTGTCGTATAACTCAGTCAAGTCAATAAATTATTCTTACTTGAATGAAGTAATGAAACATAGTTGCTTGATTTTTCATTTCAACTAACGCACTTAAGCATCGAAGTTAGAAAATTATCAGTATGAGATCCTGTCATATAACTAACCCTCAGCAGCTGAAGTTTAAAGCTTAGAACTTGTGCATTACGCGAGGAATCGGGGAGAAGTGATGACGACGTGCCATTCTTATTACATTTATTATATTACTCCTCTCCTCAACATCACTAATTCATTTAACCAACGAATGAACGCACGACAGAATATTGTGTAGACCTATAGTCATAACCTTGCTTTTTCTAAAAACGACAGAACTATGGAGACCCCTATATCAACCTGCTCTAAATGAGAATATTGATCCAAATCATTCCTCTTGCAAATACAAAAGAAATACCTTGAAGTCTGCTGTTGTCATGCACTGTAATTTAGTGTTTGATTTAGAAGAAGGTGATAAATACTGTCAGTGTGCGTTTGTAGACTATATATCTGACATTGGTTATATTTCAAGTTCATTATTATTAATTTTTAATACGTATCCCCAAATAACAATATGTTGCTACTGCTTAACAATTTCATCAGCGTTAAAATCTTAAGCTGAATAACCAACCTCCTGTGTTGTTTCGTTCCTGGAAGAAAGCAGTATACTGTCCTAGGAAATACGTTATTTAGTCCGTACTATGTCTCCACAGATTGTAAGAGCTGACATAATTTTTAGTTTATATGCTTGGAGACATCAATAAATCACAATTGTATAAACATTTCATTTAACTAATTTATTTAATTATTTCATGTACATATGTGCATGCATTTATCTATCTTCTTTTTTGTCATATAAGAATAATAAGGAAAACTTGCTGAAATGTTATTTACTGATGATTTCATGTTTTGACAAAGGCCAATATTTGTTGTTTATTAGGAATAGAGAAGGAGTAAGCCCTCATAGGACTTTTGCGAACTGTTTCGTCGTCAGAATCATGTGACCACAGGACTTCCTATGGAAGACCGTGTTGACAGCACCTTCAAAGTTTTTAGAAGCAGACTGAACGTTCACTTTAGTTTCATGACCGCTTCCACTATTTATAAGTAACTTGTTTTACCCTTTAGTTTCATAAACAATGACAAAGACTATAGCTTAGCATTATCATTGTGATCGTTATAAAACGGAAACCTGGTGTATATGCTTACTTCATATTCCTTTATTAATGAATGTGTTCCTGAGTAAGCTTTTAAATTAATTTTGCTTTATCAAGTTGACTGTCGTAAGAAATCCGTGAAAGACGAGCTTTTTGGCATATAGTTCCCATATAATGTGTTTTACTCGAATGTAGTACAAAATATACTTATTTTCTTCGTAAAAAACCGACGCTGATGAACGTCACATATGGCGGTCCGAGTATATATTATCAAACGAAGTCGGCCAGCGCGCTTAAACTTTTCTTGCAACTTTACGGCCTCCTGTGACATTTTTCGTAGAAAATAAGTATGTACTTTATGGATATAATATGATGCTTTTATTTCTCTAAAGTAGAATATATAATAGCAAAAGATAAGGATAAAATAGTAAAACATCGCAGACTCACATTAAGGAACCAGTCTTTACTGATTACCTGGAATATGTAGTAGGAATTTTAGCTTAGCAAATGCACTCTGTAAGACGTGGATCTAAAGTAACTTGCTGCGTGAAAAATAGCTTTAGTGTTACTGTGAAGTTTACCAAAATCGACAATGTTCCAAGACGCATTAGGCAGTGAAACTGCATAAACGTTGACCAAAAATTTAATTTTAATAATGGAAAGCTAACATCCTTAGGCTGTCGCACATTACAGTAACTTTAAAATGCTCGTTCGCTTCCCTATAGGCGGACTTTCGAAACAAGGTCTATACTGAAATTAGAGAAATTTCGATAAATATCGACTGATAACTGAAACTTCTGCCAGTTATTTTTTATTGCAAGGGCACTTGTGCACCATCTTAGATGAAGCTATTATGTACCGGATGATATTACACCGCAAGTGTAACATGGCTTTCCAACCGGTAACCTTTGATCTATAAAGAACTGAGCATAATAACATGTATTCACCTTTTCACATTCTGATCACGACCATTTGGCATCCTGTTATGGCTAAAGCAACAAACTATAATATTCTAATTATAGTATGAATTAGGAATTCCAGGATTAACGCAATTGAATTAAGAAGACACAGGCACAACGAATGTACTGTATTTAGAATTCGAAATCGAGCACTCAACAAGTACAAAAGAATCATTAGTTAATTCAAACACCACATCCGCCACAGCTTAAATAGAAGTATAAGTGTTTGTAATCGGTTGTACGTCTTCTTGTTAAGTTCATCCTGAGTCTGTCCGACATTGTATAAGATAAAAACTTTGTAGTATCTAGAAAGTGCTCATTAGTATTGGAATTAACAAACGAAATCGGAACAGACTCACCTGGAATTGTATACAACCAGCATGTCGGTTTTGTAATGAAATCATTAATATCTAGAATTCGAACCATAGATTTTTCAACACTATCCCCCCCCACGAAATAATGTTGGATCTTTATACTCCCAAGTTATGAATAATGTGGCTTCATTTAAAACATATATCTCACATTGTTTAGAGTAAACATTAGAACTGTTTTTGTGATAAGAGTAAACAGCAGTTGATATGAAATCATCCGAAATATAATAAAACTCGAGGTCACTTAGTACTCGTGCTTCACATTGGGCAGGTTTTTCACGAAGATCAAATACATTATGAGGATAGGTAATATATGATATGACATCGGGATTTGATTCTTCTGAAATATTCTCATGAAATTCATCAGGACTGTCGTTGCAGAGCGTAGGATCGTTAGAAAAATCAGCATCTATCCAAACCACATCAGGTTTTCGATCATGATTAGGTTCATTTAACATAGTTTCCTCAGAATTGCAAGTAATTTCATTAGAAATATGTGAATCATTAGGAAAAGTCATACTTGGTACAATAGCATGAGAATTCTGATAAATCGGTTGATTAGGAAATGTTGTCTCACAATAATTCTGGAGTTCATTTAACTCTGAACTGCCATATGACTCTGCACTGTCTTTTGAAATCGTTGATAAAGATAAATGATCATCATGAATACTCGACTCAGTAGAATCAGAATTACAAGACTTAATATTAATTGCAGTAAGATGAACATTAGCATTACAAGCTGACTGAACTTGTCCAATATCACGACATTTGAAGCACTTAGAATTACGAAATTTACATGAATTAGAAGAGTGGAACTTGCAACAGGACAAACACTGACCAAACTTGTCCCCATCCTCGTGAACTGCATCCAAACTCAACGAATTGTCTGCATAATCTTGAGTATGAACTGGGTTGGGGTGACGTAATGTAGTGGACTTGTTTATATCCTCATGAATCATTTTACGAAATCTTCCTCCTTTACGACATTCGAAATTTGTATACTGAGCATAGTCTAGCAGCAGCTCCTTGAGAGCTGTATAAGAAAGCGAAATGGGCTTTTCCGGCATAGCCAGTGTTCTTAATAAGCTGTATGTTTCTTTTTCAATGAATGTGAGGAAGTGTGCCACAATATTAACATCCTCATCATCTTCCTTGGTCATAGCCCAGATTTCGAACCTTTCAAAGTAATCTTCAAAAGCTTCAGGAGTTGAATGAATATCCAACTTTTCCATTGCAGGTTCCATCACGACGCCAATATAATATTCTAATTATAGTATGAATTAGGAATTCCAGGATTAACGCAATTGAATTAAGAAGACACAGGCACAACGAATGTACTGTATTTAGAATTCGAAATCGAGCACTCAACAAGTACAAAAGAATCATTAGTTAATTCAAACACCACACAAACCCACACAACAGTGGCAGCGGATCTCCGGTTATTAGTCGTTCAATTTTTATTCATACATTACTTAATGCATCCGAGTAATCTAGTAATGTTACGATGAATATTTTCAGCTGCGTGCTTTCTTCAAGAGATCGACGGCATTTCTGAATTGGTTCTAGGTTATCTTTTGCTTGGGTCTCATGATCCTTCTAAATAGATTACTGGTATCCACTAAAACGTCAACCTCAGAATTAGTTTGACTTATTGACGAAAAAGGGTATTCACAATACCGACGAAAATAGTATTCTTGGAAGCGTTCTCTTTTATCTTTTTTCAAAACATAGTAACCAACACTTAAGAATGAGTGTGCGGACTGTTGAAATATCCCAGTTGGAAGCATTGTAGATCACCAACGTAGATGATCTATGTCGAAATGATTGGAGGCCTACTCCAGTTAGACGTGAATGGTGTGACGAACCAACTAACGTCGAAGTCACACCTCGTGGTCAGCACCTTACGTGGACTACCCCCATTGACGTAACAAGGTACTATAGATGCTTTGAAGACTGTACAACACAAAGGACGTTATTACAGAAATATATTAGTTAAGGTAGATACAGGCGAAAGTAAGACCACTGTCGCATGGGCCAGTCCATGGCGTATGATTAACTAATGCGCGTTTGTAGTACATGACCTTGGCAGGGAGCGACGATCTGTTCGACATTCAGTGATCCAACTGCCGGATGATTTGGCTAGGGCTCAGTGACATTTCACTGGCCCTACAATACTCCCCCACCAGATTCAGCGGCCGTTTGAATCGGTACCAAACATGTTGGGAGCAATCGCGCACCGGAGAGTGCCAAACGAATATTATAAATTCTCCAGGTATTGCTTATCTGTAAAACAAATGGAAAGGAGGCGGCAGAAACTGGTCGGGAAACAGCGAGTCATAATATGTTAGTAGGACGTTGCTTAAACGTAAATTGATTAACCATAGAAATAATGAAAAGAACAAAGCGTTTAACTGTTCTATCAAGTCGCGCTGAAATATATAGCTTTGACAAGCAATTCAGTTCCTCCGATGACGAACGTTAAGTCTGCCGCAAGAGTAATGATGCTATAGCGATAGTAGGATAAGTGTATTATCAATCGATATCCATATTTGTACTGTCATTAGTTTAAAGTTGTAAGTCGGACAGTGTCGTTGACAGCTATTAATTAGTGTCGAATTCTAGTTATATCTATATCTAACAGACTAACTGTAAGTACAGAAGTATAACAGTGAAGAGTGGTCGTTATTTCGTTGTGCGAAGCTATTGACCAACTTGTAGTCACAGTTTGAAAAGTCGATGACTGCTGTTACAGCCAGTAAGGGTTGAAGGCTACAAATCCACAGCAAAGGTGGCACGATGAAGTCTCTAAAAGATGATAAACGGTGAATGCTGCGTGTTTGTTCGGTTAGTGAACAGAAAAATATCGAAAAGAACATAAGAAACCAAGAATGTCACTCTGGACTCATGTCAATGATACCCGTGAAAAACGCTGTCAGTGTTGGGATAGAGGCGACAATATCGTTTTCAGTTTGCAGGAGATTCGCTCGACTGCATAAACTGATGATTCGCGCGAATGATATTGTCGTCAGACCACCAATTGAACTGGACAGGTTGTAAATCGTCGAGTAGTTGAACAGCCGATTGATGTACCGAAATCATCTGTTAAATAGCAGACACGAGGAAACAATGCTTCATAAAATAAAGTACGACATCGAAGTAGAATAACTACAATAGTTCAGATGTGTTACAATGTCAAGTCTAAATAACATCGTTCTTACGTATACTGACAGTTGCACTGAACGTTCGTTTAGGTATTATTAGCGTAACTGTTGGATGTGTGAATAAAAGCATATACGAAAACTACGGTTGGGTTCGTGGAGAATTTTCGAGGACGTTTAGATATTTTCCAAACCCGTATCGCATGTAAATAAACCGAAAATAGAATTAAAATGACTGTCGTGTAATAAAGAAATCGAGCCATGATTTACCGTGTGAATTAATAGCAAATACAAGGGGTATAATAAACATTAATTAAAATGGTAACCACCAATGTAACTAAGGTTTAGAGGGTCCAGGTAACGTGGCCATTTCGTAAAAGGCTGATACAAAGAGCTTATTACCTAGCGTTAAGTGACATATTAAGTACGACAACGTGTGTACTTGGGACATGGACTAAGCGTGCTCGTGTACATGCAATATGTTTTACCACAGTATATCGACTAACGAGTCATAAATGTACATGATTTCGACTAAAACTTGACGGCAGTGACAGAATATATGACTAGTTTACGTGAAAGCAACTACGAAATGTTATCACGCATCATAAATATAGTACGAAATAATCTAATGAAATTATGAAACTCGCCTGGGTTAATCTTGCCTTTAAGTAATGAAGTAGGCAGTAGTTTGAATCTGGATTATGTACGAGGTACTGTTGATTAAATTTTTCGGTTAACACAACGTTGTAGACTGAATTTGTATAAGTCCAGAATTAATGTAAGCCGAATACATAGCATTACCTGACGAACAGTCTAAATGAGATCTAAGATCGCAGGAAATTTATAGTTCAAACTCACCGTAAATTTCTAGCATTCGTATCCTCTGTTTGGCCATGGAACTCAGCAATTGGAAATTAGGCAGGCAGTGGTAAAAAAAGGCAAAACATTCTAGTGGATAGTGGTTAAGCAGAAAGATGAATTTATAGTCGATAGTTAATTTTGTCTTATTTATACCAGTGGATAAGGTACAAAGAGATATGCGTTCGTGTTGCCTTGTGGCTATACTCACGAGTGGTTGATATTTTAACAGACATATTACACAGGAGCATTTACATGCTGCTAATGCTTGTTAAAGAACCACGATAGCCGATTATAATCGTAGTTGATTGGTTAGTTCTGTCGATTGAACGAATTATCTAGGTTTAAATGCTAATCAACATTGACATGAAGCAACGAAAGTTCACAGTAACAGATTAACATAGGCGATGATAAAAATGAAAAAGAATAAGTATAGAGTACAATAATAAAGATTATAGTGATAGGTTGCGTTACTCGAAGTCTTGCTCACCAGTGTAAATCACCAACGTAGATGATCTATGTCGAAATGATTGGAGGCCTACTCCAGTTAGACGTGAATGGTGTGACGAACCAACTAACGTCGAAGTCACACCTCGTGGTCAGCACCTTACGTGGACTACCCCCATTGACGTAACAAGGTACTATAGATGCTTTGAAGACTGTACAACACAAAGGACGTTATTACAGAAATATATTAGTTAAGGTAGATACAGGCGAAAGTAAGACCACTGTCGCATGGGCCAGTCCATGGCGTATGATTAACTAATGCGCGTTTGTAGTACATGACCTTGGCAGGGAGCGACGATCTGTTCGACATTCAGTGATCCAACTGCCGGATGATTTGGCTAGGGCTCAGTGACATTTCACTGGCCCTACAGCATCATTGATCTTAGGTAAAAAATCGCACTGGTGCTTGATTTCAGATACAGGTTCGGATTTATGTAGTGAGGACAGAAGGTCTGCGGCCTGTGCTATTCCTTATTTAGTATGATTCTGTGGGCGCCTAGTCTTCTCTTGAATGAGTCAATTGAAAGTGCAGATACCACCGCTTGGGGGAGCTGGTCCTAAGTATTGATGACTTGGTATGAAAATCTGTATACCACGGGTATTTTGATCGTTCTTGGCTTTTATGCTCGCCGGCTATGTCCTTTGAGATACTCCTAACTAACGCAAAGAAAAAGGGACTATGTTATGTCCAAAATCATTTCTTAGTATTCTATTCATCAAAATAGGATAACCTCTAGATCCCAGATAAGACACAGTTCAGAGGTCCAGCTTCTCAAGGTGCTCTTCGCACGGTATGCCCCGCAGTTCTGGAATTGCACGGGTAGCTGCCCTCTGTCCTTTTTCCAAGATATCCGAGTCAATTTTGAAACAGAAGCTTTCAGTCTGGCTCAGTTCTCATTAAGATTGTGCATACTGTAGTAAACAGGGTAGTATCTTAAGATTGCGACTCACCGTGACCTCAAGATCCTTGCGAGACCGAACCACGGGTACAGAGGATTCCTCTTTGTTGTACCCATTTACCTTTGTATCCCCAAAGTGCATGTACACACATTTTGCCGTGTTGATAGGCGTCAACCACCATTCAGACCAGTCAATCAGAAATAGTTTACCATAATCTTTGCTCTTTCCCGATCACTCTATCATTTTAGATCCATTCCCTTCTGTAATTGGGTTGCGAAACCAATGCCGCATTCTTGTTCTTTAGTTTGCGTACGAAAATATTCTCATAAGCTGCTTGATTACAGATTGTGCTAACTGTTTTCCATATTTTTTCTGAGCTTCCCGGATTTTCATTATGCATTTATCTCTTACCGACGTGTAGCGTTACATCCTACTTGCCGTGCCTAGGTTGATAACAACGTTCCAATACACCTTTTGTGTTAGTAGACGTTGAATATCTTGGCCTGTTCAGGGGTGGACGTGCTTCTTCTTTTTTGGGGCTGTTCAGGTTACAAATGGTTGAGTTACCTGATTATATAACTGCGGGAAATGAGTTCATATCTCCTCTACTGATAACTGTGAGTCAATGATTCAGTTTCCAGTCGATACTACAGGGTTTATCACCTTCATGTCCTCCTACCATATGTTAGGACGGGCCCGCGCAACTGTTTGGCAGATCGTCTAAGCCATGAGCTTGAATAAGATGATTGCGCAATCTCTTCTTCCAAGAGGTGGGAAGAAAGTTATTTGACTGACATCATCGAGTGTGAATATAAGATCCAAGAGAGACGACGAGCTACAAGAAGATGCTCAAAACAAAATGCATTAACACGTTATCAAGCAAAACACTTGAGCATGGCGGAAAGAATACATTGACCTAAGTAGTAGTAGCAGTAGTAACAGCGAAAACCGAGAAAAGAACCGATCCGGAAAAAAAACAAATTCGACATTTACAAAATCACATAAATTAAGGGATTTTTTCACACTGAAATATTAACTACTGGGTCAATAACAAGAAGCTAGCGGAAGAACTAACAGAATAAAGTAAGCCAACTTCCATTGCTTTCAAAAATGATTGCGATGATAATTCCTGCTTAATTCTGACTGGTCGCTGACTGGACTGTCGAAGTTATGAATAGGAGTATGGTTTATTTTCAGAGTGTACAATCAAATGAATGAATGAATTTCGTAACAACTTATACGGCTTGCTTTCTTCAACCTGATTGATTCGTCCATCAATAATTGTGTCACAGTTATTGACATATACCATACAAAAACAATGTTAGTCATATGCCTTTGTTTTTACTTTCAGCACCAGGTACATATACTAGTTCAGCTGATCTTAATAAGTAGCACTATTTATTTATTGTCCTCTTCTACTTTCAGAACTTCTTGCGTATGTATGTTTGAAGTGTGGTTTATCTCATTTTACACTAGGGCCTAGGTATTTTATTGGATTAAAAGGAAATGAGGTTTAGGAGGTTCATAGAAGACTAAAGAACAAAGAAAGAAGATTAACTAGCTTTGTATCATCGGGTAAAGGTTTTGACAGTGTTGTTGAAATGTTCAACAGACACCCAGCTTTGAAATCAACAGGCTGTTCTTTAGGAGAGCCAAACATGGGCCGACCGAATATCAGCAGTTCTGATCACTGCTTGGATTCATCATATACATTAACCTCGTTGATTTTGGGCTAGCATTTAAAAGTGTGTTTAAGGGGACCTTGCGGAATGACCTACAACACTGAATTGTATCTAGGAAGATAACTATTATCATGCGAAACGTTCTCGAGGAAATGAGTTGTAATTTCATACGCAGAAGAAAGTTTACAGGTGGATTTTGTGCGAGGACTAGCGTCATACAGTGTAGTTTACTAGCTCTTTCTCTTCTTATGCTATCTGTTGACTGAATTATGAAGACTACTACATCTCAAGTGAAGCACGGAATATGGTGAACAACTTGGACACGATGCGATGACGTGGACTTTACACCTGACCCAGCTTTTCTATCACATATATAGGAAAAAATACGAGGATGCACAGTCAAGGTAACACCTGATTGAATAGAATTAGATATCAGCATTTACATGGAAGAAAGAAGACAACAGAGCACAACGCAGTGAGCGCCAACTAAATCACACTTAATTATGAAGCTCAAGGAGAGGTTGTAGCGTGGCGTCGAGTTGAGGTTAACTATGAACACCGCTACCAAGAAACACGTGCCAAGCGAATCAGAAGGCGAGGGTTGGACGTAACCAAATAGATCCATAAAATCCCCGAGAAGCCAAATATCAGAAGACAGTTAATGGACCAAGTCGAGGTTTATTAGCTGGCGATCTCGTGGCATCGAAAGGATACCGAGATCGTGCCAGGATACAACCTTGGTTACAGAAGGTAACCGAATTCGCGCGAAGTTACAATCGAAGTGTAAGTATAAGAATGGAAGCACAAAATAGCTGTCATTAGCACAGTCAAACAAAAGCACATTAAAACAGTCACTGGTACACTTGGTTATAATAATAAGCGTTTTTATTAAACCAGTCGTGTTCTCGTGATAAATGTGAGTAACTACAAGGTGAACAGATCCACGTATCTGCATAGTATCACAAAATACAAGATGAATCTGATGCACACATGAAAGCACGAATTCTCAAAGCAAGAGCTGCATTCAAATGACTGAAGAATATTTGCAACCTTAAATAAATTCAAACCTATAAAAACATCAGAAACTTCAACATCGACGTTTAAACATTTCTATTGTGTGAAGCTGAAATTTAAAGAGCTACCACAGTCATAATCAAAAAGTACAGGTGTAGTGAACGCTACTCACAAGGTTGTTTGCGAGTAGTGTTTAACGGAAGTTCGTGTCAAAGTTGTCTGACAAAGTAGTGAGTTTCTGTGCATCGAAAGCACGATGTTGGCAGGACACTTTGATGCCAGTTGCGAAGACAGTTCAGATTTTAGAACACACTAGAAGATACAAATGGACAACTGTAGACTATGTATTATGCATTATGTAAATACTTTTTAACTTCTCTCAATAAATAAATATTTCTCCTGCCTATTGTTATGTTTTACGCAGGTGTTATAGACACCTTTCTATGTAAGACACTTCATATTTATTGGCAAAACACAATAAACAATTAATGACCGCTGTATACCACAAATCCGATGTCAACTGAGAGCGATGGAAAGTAAAATCCATTGAGCTACCAACTGTCTTTAAATATTCATTTATGCATATAGTAACATTAACTGGACTAGATATATAGCACCTACTGACAAGTTCAAAAGACAGATAGTTTAGAAAATGAGAAATAGACATGTTCAGCTTCTCACATGAATGAACGGGACAATGTGGAAAAAGTAAAATTCAGGCGCATGTATTTCTTTCTTGCTGTAACAACATTTTCGAATTTATAATAATTCTATTATTCACTGATATTTCTTTCTAAAAGTCTTCAGGTTGGCAGATGACCTAATAAAATCGTCTGTCAATCAATAGAAATCAGACAACCACTTTCTGAACATGACAGTAATGACGTTTTACATTGACTAATTAAGAGAAATACCTTAGGTGTCAATAAATTGGCTTATATGTATGGTATATTATGAGCGGAAACTAGTTAACCGTACTGGTAGCAATAAATCAATAAACCATGTAAACTATATAAAAACGTATATGTACATGCATTAATTAACTGCTTGGTTTAAATCAAATGATGAAATTTCGCGACACATTATATTGTGAATTTGAACAGTCTGACGAATTACGATAATCGCAAATAGGTCATAATTTCAACAAGACGTAATAATGAAACCGGACTGGAAGTAGGATGAATGAAATTGCATTGTATTATTATAACCAATCAAAACATGACATAAGATATCAAATTTTACAGTAGCTGTATTAATTATTCACCTCACAATATTCTTTTCAGTTGTGATTAATTTTCAGCATTTACAGGTAACTGATTAAATAGTTTGACTTAATGAAACACATTGTTTTATAGGGGGCGAAGGTGATCTGAAACTACATTAAGATTTGTATTTCAAGTAGGCTAATTTAATCAACCATAGTGGGCTTTAAGTTATCTGGATAGTCATTTGGCTGGGAAGATTTATATCTAACTCGTGAAGATATAACTATTGTGAATTGCTGAAATGTCGCCGAAACCAAACTGAGTAAATATCTACTTGAATATTTGTAAAATTTTGACTAATATCTATGTAATGAGTGTACTTTTGTTGCCAAACTATTAATCTCATCGCCACTATGCAGTTAACTTGAAGAGTGTAGTTGCTCAGCTTTGTAGTAGTGTATTGAGCTATACTATTCAATGGTTCAGCATCACAGTCCACCTTAAACTGGTGAGTAGACTATACTGCTTATCTAGTTTGTTCCAAAATTAGGTCCCACTAGGTGAATGTTTTATTTGGAAGAACAGATGGAAAGGATGCAATGTAGACTGGCTATAATGAAGCTGCCAAGTGAGCCAAAATCTACTAAATCATCTATTCACTAATCAGAGTTAGCCTCTGTTGACTTTGGTGAATTTCAATAAACAACTTAATGTCCAGTAACCAGTCATCCAATATTGGAATACGCTCAGTTTGACAAATCGATTTATCTAGAATTCAGTGTTGTTACACTGGCCGTACACATAGCAAAATCCAATACATTTATGGTGAACTAGTATCAGACAGTTGAATTTTTCTCTTGCTCAACCTACCAGTCATCGGTGTATGAACATGTTATTTTTCGATAGAACAATTTCAGTAGCGGTATTCTTATAACATTGGCTTCCCATACATTTGAACTTACGATTTGACCTTTTGTCCCTACTGAATTTCCAGTCACTTGCATATGTGGTGAATTATTTTCATACGGTCCTGTCAACTTGTTTGCTTTATTAAATGCAAGTAAATTCTAAATTGCTCCGTCTGAAGAGATTGTTTGCATCTCTTTGTTATTTACAGCAGTAAAATATGGTCATTATTTTGTCGGTCATCTTAGTCAACAGGACAATCTGGAGCGTCTAGTCGAACGTTTTTCATCTCAGACATATATATACGGTTTTCCTTTTCACTATGACATATATATATATATATATATATATATATATATATATATATATATATATATATATATATATATATGGGGTTGTGTTGTGTGTTTGTGTATAATGCGAAGGCATTTTGTGACTGTCAATGACCGAAATCAAGCCTGTAAATCACAATCATGTGCATAAATTAGTTTACATGTAAACTAAACAATATATATATAATAGTGTTGTGGTTTTGAAACCGAATATATCATTATGACACTTACGAGAAGAATCGGGTTATTTTGGAATGGTATTTTTATCATTATCGTCGTATGTAAGTATATTCATTTGTAAACTGTAATCCATTATTGATACTGTTATTATATGGTTCATTTTTGAATGCGGCAAAGGTGAGTAAATTTTATTGTTCCGCAAAATGTTCAGGACATTAACTTTAACTGTAATTAATAACATACTTATTTTAACAAAAACCTATCGCCATCTAGCTTAAAAAGTGCCTTAGATGTATCATAAAATAGTTCACCTAAAATTTTATAGATTTGGACTTGAGTACTTTTTACAGTTATTCAGTATACAGCGTACGCGTTCGCAAAATTTTACGATTTATGTAGTCAGAACGTTTCTTCAATTGTTTGATCTGTAATTACAGATTGAACAAAATCAGATCTCACAGTTGATTAATATACTAAGAGGTTGGTTAAGTATGAAGTATTCTACTTCTTTCTGGAGTGCTGATGTCTGTATTTGGATATCGGATGTTAACAGATTTCAATAGGTATCATAATTCTACGTAAACTTCCACTATAAAGGATGCTTGAAAGTTTAAATAATCAAGAACATAATGTGCAAGTTACTCAGATATGATAATTAGAAGTATGTGAATTAATTTGCTAAGAATTCCCGAAATAGTGCAATTTAAGGCAGTTAGAACTAGATAAGCTGAAATGTACATATTATATTTGTAATTCGTAATCAGCGGGCAATCAAGTACAGAGGAATCGTTACTTCGTACAGATACCACATCAGACTAACTTGATACAAAACTGACTAAACTAGTAGGTGGAACGACCAGTATTATTCGAAACTTAAAGAAATGTACGATAATAGCGAAATAAGAAAAAGAGTTTTTTGAAGGTGTAGTGTGTAAATCCACCTCTGGGGTGTTGGTTGTGATAACTGGAGTTCGTTCATATATATTAGGTAATAAGTGATGAGCTTATATTCTGATCAGTAATACATATCAAGGTAGATGATACATCGGGTTTATTTTTAGCACATTACAAACTGTATGTTCAGTACCTTTATAGGTAGAAATTCTTCAGTTACTGGATTCGAATTTCATTTTTCAAATAAGAATAATTAGTTTGTAACCAAAACATTTCAATAATTGTTCTTAAACTAAAGTACCGTAGATTGAAAGTCTCTTAAAATCTGATCTGGTCACTGAAATGTGAATGATTGCTTTCTAACTACTCCAAAAAGAACTACGTTATCTTATACAATTAATCAGTCAAAGCATTTGTTCCCAAATCTTTAATGAAGAAATTAATGGCTCCGGATTATAGTATCACTCTTCAACTTATACTAAATAATGAAGATATGACAATTTGTTTCAACTTCATTTGACCTGGGATCAATGGTAATACATTATTGTGATATGTATATAAAATATTGTTATGACTTTAAGCCCGGTTAATTATCATATGACTTATTCACCAATCGGGACAGGACTTATACACTCTTAGCACTGTGCCAAACCAACGACCGCTATTAGCAGTCTAGCGTTCTTATTGGTCTGTTTTCCTCCTAGCCTTGCCAGTTGAGTCCAGGACACCAATAACAGCTTCCACTATATGAATCATGTATTTCAATCATACCTGGTTTATATACAAGCCAGACAGACTACATCACACCATAAAATAGGAAATAACATTCGTATAAGATCAAGCTCGCAAGTGGCCGTGGTCATTTGAGATGGTAATTAGTAAACTGAACATGACCTAATAACAGAAAATCGTATAATAATAGTCTATAAGTCAAAACAAAGCTTATAATAAGAGGAATATAAATATGCATAATTTAGTTACTCAATAGTTATACAATAAGAACATATGTATAATATTAATCCACTAATAACTCTCACAAGTTACCCATAATTTAATCTTCGCTAGGATATAACTTGTATATACAGATACTGTGAAATCCCAATAAGTATAAAATTGTATTTCTGACATTTTGTAACTTAATGTCATTGTTTTCTTTGTACTATTGAAATTCGGTGTCAATTCGATTCGATTAGTTATTTACTCTGGAAAAATGGTTTACATTAAGTTACGAAAGGTCACAAATACGATTTTTCTTTTCCCTATGACATATATATATATATATATATATATATATATATATATATATATATATATATATATATATTAGCTTAATACAAAGTTGAGTAAAGCACTATTATCAGAGGATGATAGTTCATTCGAAATTAGTAAATAGTTAATAGAAATTCATTGTATCATTATAATGATGTTACGAAATTTTAATGAATGTTATAAACTTGCACGGAGATTAATTGATCAAGTTATATTTTTCAATATTTATTCATATTTTAGTAGTTGAGATCATGAGTCAATTGAAGCTAGACCACCATGGAAAACCTGACCGTTTCACTATCTCAATTATCAAAATTACTATAATATCCACAAAACCCCTTCTGATACTAATCAACTTATGCTCACAAATGACGGTCTCCAAGAGGTTTTTCTTGGAATTCCAGTGAGAAGCAGTGACCAGTGGAGTTCAACCGGGTCAGTTGTGAGATAGTAACTCACTGATGGCAATGGTGGATGTGTCGCTTAATTTCATGGATTATTTGAAGTTAAATATTAGCACTGTTAGATGCTGGCCGGCTCAAAGGCCTAGTAGTTAAGCGCTCGCGCTCGAGACTAATAGATCCTGGGTTCGAATCTCGCGAGGCGGGATCGTGGATGCGCACTGCCGAGGAGCCCCACAGTGGGACGAAGCGACCATCCAGTGCTTTAAAGTTTTCCATGGTGGTCTAGCTTCAATTAGCTCATGATTTCAACTGTTAAAATATCCACAAAATCCCTTCTGATATTTATTTATATAACAGATTCACGAAATATCAGTATTTCGTTTCTTAGTAAAAGTTTATTGATAATAACCTTAATTACGTAATACGCTTATGGTATAATATATGGGACATCCTATAGATAAATAGGTGATCTATTTTGATCTTTTATCAATTAGAAATATGTCATTGATATTATTTGTCATTTATATAATCAAATGAAATCAAATGATTTAAATTACATTGTTTATAGATTTAGGATAATATTGTCTAATAACATGTAAATATAAACCGATCTAAATAACAATGTTTAATTTTAATTAGTTCATCCAAATAGCACTGACTGCCAATTCATTAAAATGTATAGTATCTTATTACATTTTTCAATCCATAAAAAGTTTTCTTATAGTTAGTTCATATGATTGTAAATAAGTAATTAGTAGTATTCTTAAGTATAGTAACCTCTCTGACTGTGAAGCTGGGTGGCACTGAATCAAATCCGTCACGGAACACCAGTTCCTTCAAGATTACAGGTACACCTTGATGATAGGTGTCAAATAGCACGAAACCCGAGTTCAGGGTTTCCTATTGATTATCTCCAACCACCATCTTATTTCAACACAGGACACGCAATGTCGAGTCACTTAGACTAGTGGTCACATTTCAACTTGGTCGATAGCATTCGATCTGTACTAAGAAGGACCTGATACATATGACATTGATCACCACTCAGTGATCAATCAATTGTGAATAAAAGACGAAAACAATATAATGGTAACCAGTTGATGGCAGATGTGATATGTTAAGTTCCTTTTCCAAGCTCATATCTTATTCTTTATTCTATCGACGGTTAATTTGTATACACATAAATATCAAATAGGAAAAGTGAATTTAAATAAAGGAAGCTTAGTGCTATATTATGTTGAAGCCAATGCTTAGTTCAATGATCGTTCTTTGTGAAGAAATTAAGTTGGTCAACTAAAGTTTCCTGTAAATATTGACTTTTTCTTCTGAAGCATAAGTGTAATCGTATAACAACAATAAACTTTTATAGTAAAACTGGTTAATTTCTTTTTTTTTACTTTAACTATTCACTTTCCTTCAACAGTTATGAAATAAATCAGAGTAATTAAGCATGAACAGATCGGTATATTATAGTGTATTTGGTTTATAATCGAAATTTACTTCGGAAAATTTCTACTCAAACTTAACACAATTGCTAAACGTAATATCAGATATCTGAAATTACTAGAATTGTACATTATCTGAATAAAATGAGTAGAGAAACATTCATATTTAAATTGTACAATGACTGATCTAATTATGTATACAAAAATTTAGATACAATGATTGTATAACTATCATTCTAGCTATACTGTAGCATAAAGTTCCATAAAACTGTTCACTGATTTTCGTTACTATTACGATGCAGATTGAATGATCATAATTTATACTTCACCAATTGAATTACACTATATGAAGTAATCAGATTAGTTTAATGTAAAGACAAGTTTATACACTTTACAATGTATGCCTTCATTCATTGAGTAATCTATTCTTAGAGATGTAAGGTTTACAACTAATTCACAAAAAGAAACCTGATCCTTTAATCGTTGGCAATCACATTTCTTTTATACGTTATTTTTCAATCAAAGAGTTAAGTAAGCAGTTTATGATTGTAAAGATGACAACTAAATCTGTTTAAACAAAAACAAACAAACTGAAAGTACAAGCCGAGTAGAAGATTACTTTCGGTCATTTCTTTTATGTAAAATCGTTAAATTCATAATTGAATTAGCATATTCTCAATGAATAATATGCTGACCATTAAGTTATCTCGGTGTTACCATATTGTGATAAGTTAATAATGCTGACATCAAAAAGTGTTATTATTATTATTGTGTTTTTATTCATTTGTCTAAGTGAACTAATGTGTGACCACATATTTTTACGATACATGAATTTGTCCAACGTAAACATGTCTAAATTCACTTGATATTGTTTACTTGAATCTTCTCATTAATGTTTAGAACTTGAAATTGATCAGTATCTTATTAGCATACGTTCATACTGTGCATATTGCCTTGATATTATCTTAATTCACAGGTGTTCTAAACAAAGATGGGTAGTAATAAGCCGTAGGATCCAGGGCGCGCGTTTCTTCCTATTTATGACTCATCAGCTGGATGTACCTGTACCTCATAGTTGATGTTCATTCCGAAACTTGAACCCAGTACTGTACACTTCAAACATCATCGCGTTATCGACTTAACTATTGAGTATTGATGGCCACTTCCTTGTGCAATGGGGTGAAGTTGCAATTCACTTGATATTGTTTTACTTTTATCTTCTTATTGTTATTTAGAACTGAAATTGAATAATCTCTTATTAACATACTTGTATATTGTGCGTTCTGCCTTGATATTACCTTAATTCATAAGTGTTCTAAACAAAGATGAATAATGGTTATTTCACTGATTGAAATCATCAGTCCATTGAAGCTAGACCACCATGAAAAACCTGGAAACACTGGACGGCCGTTTCGTCCTAGTATGGGACTTCTCAGCAGTGCACTATCAGTCTAGCGCCAGGTGCTTAACCAACTAGACCACTGAGCCGGCGTCCAACGGTGTTTTCAATCAGTGAGATTTCTAAAATCTCCACAAAACCCCTTCTGATAATAATAGTTATTGTCTACATAATTTGACAATCTTTTTAGCATATAACAGAGAAAAACAGGTAAATTATTCAATTTAAATATTGTTTAATGTAAATGAAGTTTACAATTTCCATTTAGTTAATTTCATATTCAACTATATAACCAATTTGGTAATCTTATAAAGTTATTTAAAAGTAGTATATTACTCCATATTTAATAAAATTTATTCATAAATCTGTGTAAATTTCCTAAATTTTCACAAGATTAAATTATTTATTCAATTTTAAATTGAAAACTTAATTTATATCAGATTATGAGAGGGTAAAGAAGATTTTTAGTTCAGATAGATGATTTTATTGAAGTTTTGTTCCTTGAACTAGATGGAAGGACTTGTACTTGAAGTTTTTCATCCAGAAGAATGATAAAAGCTTCAAACCATTCAGCTCATCGAACAAAACTCCATTTAACATCATATTGTTTCATAATTAAGTGATTTTGTTTCATTTACAGTTTACTAAAACAATTACTAAGTTATGTAAACTTAATTGGGTTTAATAAATTCATGAAATATAGAGAATAAACAGCACGCTTTAGTTCATTTATGTAAGTGCTCAGAAAATATGCTTATAGCTGTGTTTTTATGACAGATTTGAGTTAATATGATAATATCTGCTGTATTTTAAGACCACTGACCAAAATCACATGATAAAGTCAAGAAAATGAATTCTAATTCTGATGTTCTATATTTCTTGTCTACTATTTTTATTATAACATAATACCTATAACATGACCAATTATACACCTGACTAGCATTGTTGACCATGAGCCGATGTTGTTATGTTCTGAGTGGTTCCTTATCTTCAATCCCTTCTCTATTCCCTGTCTTGAGTCTAAATAATCAAGAGCAAACATCAACTCTATTATGTTTCAAACATTTGGATTAATGTGTAAACATACTGAACCGCTTCAAACCAAAAAATGTAAAAACAACAATTACATATAAAAGAGCCTAAAGTGGCTCAGAATAGTACAAGTTGTAATTGGTGGATTGACAACACATTAAGAATAGTAAATCCTATAGCAATAGGTAAATGGTTTAAAGATAGCTCATGATAAATGGAACATATATACACATAGTAATCTACCTACTTAATGATTATATTCTGAAAAAATATAAAGTAATAATCTATACGATAGTTCTAGGAGTTACCATTTCTTCAATCTCCGTTCCGATACATGAATGTTGAAACTGCCTCATAGTCAAAGTATTATTAATTCAAAGCAAACTGAATCATTGAATCTAACTCGAAAAATATTGTCTAAAACAATGGAAACGAAGAAGTCGATACTTAAGAAGTCGAGGAAGATTAAAAATGTTAGAATTAAATAGGATTAATTACAAACATTAATATTATGTTTTTCCGATACTCTCTACCAACTATTGAGTTCTAGCTCGACTAAATCTCTCAAAATTCCTTGCTTATCAACAAAACTTAAACCTTCTGTCTACAATTAAACTGAGTAATCTTACACAATAAGTTAACGAAATATTTGTGATAGCCTAATGAATATAAATGAGAATTTCTGACGTTTCGCAACTAAGTTTAAGCTGCTTCATCAGAGGGTAGATAAGTTAAAAACTAACCGAACATAAATTCATTTGGTTTCTAAGAATGTAGCTTGAATCAAGTTGAAAAACGTCGAAATCCCTGATTTCTATTAATTGGAATATAAAAAATATATCATTATTTGATTAATATCATTCATTTGAAGTTATCAAGTCAAACCCTGGTATACTGTAGTGAACACGAACACCAGTAGGGACAATCGAATGTATTTAACACAAAATTACAGGACTTGTTAATAAAATCTAACAATCATAAAGTAAATGGTTAATCTGAAAAGTATCCATCAATTGTCTCAAAATGACTCAGACTTCACTGTACTTGCATTTTCATACAAATTGCATTCTGTTTCCATTCTTTACTGTTCGATCCTCTTGTCTCTCTGCTGTCAGACCTTCTGTTCACGACTAACATCATCTACTACTTATGCCAATATAAGTAGCACACACCACAATACTACACACTGAATAATTCCACTTACTTATCTGTTCTAACACAACGTTCAAGAAGTCTGAGTGAAGAGAGAAGATTCACAGACCTCACATGGATGAATTCGACAGATTTCTTTAATTGAGTTTACATGACTGAACGTAAAAATAAAACTGATGTGTGGCCGAGAATGATAATGATTGATTGTCTGCTTAGTTAGATATGTGGATAGTCTAACAGGTGTCACATGAGTTATATATTCCTTTATCCTTATTATTATTATTGTTATTACTCACTTATTATTGATTGTTAATTGTTGTTGGATTGTGTTGGGTCTTGGCGTGGAAATACATTTACGTTGTGGTCAGGCTAATCACGTGTTCTCGATCTCAGTTGTGTTGAAGTCTTGTAGAATAGACACCGGGAGGGAATCTGGTGTAGATATTCGTCTAAGGTAAATTAACGTCCTATACGTGCAAACGTTGAAACCTAACTGTTATAACATTAGACAAAGTAAAACCGAGCGTTATAACAATTGGCGACAGGGTAAAAAACAAAGAACCAAAGGTACAAAACCACAAGTTATAACAAAAACATTTGACAATCTGAGGCTGATTAAATGGAATTCAGAAAAGGTTTCGAAATCTAACTTAGCATCAGTCTATATCAAGTTAAATAAATACAGTAGGATAATTTTATTAACTAGCTTATATCCTTTTACTTAAAAAATGGGATTTTTACCTCTATAGTCTTTATATAGTTGTCTTACTATTCGATAGGTTTTGCAATTAACACTCAGGGAAACTGATTCGGAAACAAGCAATTTCTTAAATAGCCCGGTTTGTTATAATACTCAATCGTCTCCAATACTGTTACTAATATCTGTTAATATCATAACAAAATTGAGCTTCATCGGACAATATTACTCATTAAAACTTGCAGAGCTCTTTTAAAAACGAATCACTGGTACTTCAATGCAAATTTTGTTATATGGTTTTCACTTTCACTGTCAGTCCAAGATCGTAATGAACATCCAATCATACAATCACCATCAGCTGTAGCTTTTTCATAAAAATCTCTATTTCTATTTGTGATAATAAGTAATTTAGTGTATAAAAATGTTTTCTTTTCTTTTCTTTCCAGTTATATGTACTTCAAGTGAATTTTGGAGAGAAAATAATTCACCTTGTAAAAATCTTGGGACATTTTGTCGTAAATTACCATTTGGTCAAAGATGCTGTGATACAACAGTATGTGATTTGAAAGCACCCTTTTCTGGTACATGTGTAAGATGTTTAGATAAAGGCAGATTTTGTTTACGAAGTCGTGAATGTTGCGATAATTATTGCTTTTTCTTTAGATGTCGTTAATTGTAATAAAGAAATAACTTGTAATTTGATAAACATACCAAGGTGTTCACGTAAATACATATACATTTTACCATTGTTCGTTTTGTTCACTTAATGCATATTATCACTGTGGATAAATGAAGAAATAACAGCCCTGTAAACTGGTATACAAAATATTTGGGCGCCTATTCACTATGAAAACCGTAGATAGATTTCAACACAAATACTTAGTAACAATTGAAATCCTTGAAAATAAAAAAATAGGATAAGACTACTGTAATGTCATAGAAAGTAAAAAGACTCTATGATGATTCATAAACACTGGATTATAGTCTTTTAATCTTGTTAAGATGCACATTCCAGAAATAACTGGTCAAAATAACATTGCACTACGTATTATTATATCTGGTGAAACGAGAGTTTCAGTACTTAACAATACTTCGACAAAAATTCAACACGAGACAAGTTTCAAAGAGTAGGGCGCGCAAAAGGGCTGGCCAAAGTGAGGAATTAATGGTATTGCAATTCTTAAAATAAACCGAAATATCGAAATGCAAATTTAAATGAATTGTGAGATGTCATAATAAAAAAATATAACATTAAATTGAATAAACTAAACTACTTGTGTGTATTAAGTAGTAAAAAACAAAAGGGAAAAGAATGAAGTTGTTTGATAATCAACAAAAATTGAAGTCACATTTAATAGATTGTGATAACAAAGTGCAAATTATTAATAAAACTAAACAATCCGGAGCAGACAATGAGTGGGTTGGACCAAGTTGAATTAGAATTTAGTCAAATTAGCTTATACAACATAAATATGTGGGCGGTAAAGCTAACATTAGTGCAATGTTAAATCTGTATTGATTTATGTAGGTATATAACTGAGAAACGAAATGATAGATAGATTGTCAAAATATAACATTAACGAGTTGAACAAATGCTATTTATTTAAGATTGAGAAAAACACTAAGTGATTTGATAAAATATATGGAAAAATATAGTATACAGACATCATGTGTTTCAATTTAGTTAACCGATGCAGTAAAATACCATATATATATATATATATATATATATATATATATATATATATATATATATATATATATATATATATATATATGCGTCACATTTCGTCATTCGATTTGTTTAAAGGCTGGGATACTTTCCGGTTGCTCGAAATGAAGCAGGTGGTTTTCTTAGGGGGACACTCCTCGAGCCTTAGAACCAAAGTTCCGATCCACAAGTCAGTGGACCAACATCAGGAGATGCAGTTCCATGGTAGTTGGTGACCAATAACTGGCTCATACGCCATTTGTTCCTTCAGGATCTTGGAGCCCATGCGCACCATTGGTTTGGAATCAAGACTAACCAACTCCCCTAGGTAGTTTCTCCATATCCACCAACCCAGTTAAAGCGTCGGACATTCACTTTTCGTCCTCTCAATTTCGTAAACAACAGTAATGCCCCTAGAAGGTAGTGAGTATAACTTCCCTGGTAGTGAGTTTATACGCGTGACCATGTGAGAGCATCTGAAGAGGAAGAGCTGACTCTCTCCACCCTCAACCGTACCAGGACATCTTGGTTCTTACTGTTTGATGAGTAAATTGAAATGGTTAGATCAGCGACCTTTAAAAAGAAAATTCAGTTTGTCTAACTGAAAAAAGTGATGTTTTTGATTCTTGAATGGCTAAGCGTTTGGTAGTTTTTGAAATATTCGTTAGAGCGTAATGGACAATAGACGACAATTACTTAGTGCCTTACTCATTATCTATTCTAAATAGACAAGCTAACATAAAACTTTTCAAGGTCTTCGCTATATATTTTTTTCTGCCTACTGGAGATTGTTTGGCGCTAAAAAGAAATAACTCCCTAGAATAACTGCCAGTCTATCAGCCTTTTGGTGGTGTTCTTGAAAGAACAATTAACTGAATATTTAAAACCAAATTGTAGACAATGTGTTTCCTACAGTTAAGACCAGATGGCCAATCAGTATATCTGATAAATTGAAATCAGAAAGTTAAATTTTAGCAGCCAAAACAGAAATCAGAAATTATACTCAGGATTTCAGTCCACTGTTACATGATATTCATGTATAACATTGAACTGCTGTCAAACTTTAAATAAGCTGAAGAAAGTTTATAATTTTCAAAATATTATTTTGAACATATTTAAGCTGAGAAATTATTTCAACCAATGGATGATGCAGTAGAAAGTATAATGTGGTACCCAGAAAGTGCACGTAGTATATTTGTACTAGATATCTTAATTTATTTACAGTAATCAATTGTAAAGACAAGAAATTGTCTCAATCAAAATTAGTTTGAAATAATTAATTTTTATCAGGATAAGGATTTGTGGAGATCGTAGTAATTTGAATAGTTGAATTCATGATTTGATCTAAGCTAGACCATCAATGAAGACCCGGAAGCACTGAACGAACTCCTCAGTAGTCTAGGTGTTAAGGAGCTGGGTTCCGCGTCTCGCTTGCCGGATCGTGGACGAGCAAGTCTAGGTCGTCCCATACTAGAACGAAACTGCCATCCAGTGCATTCAGGTTTTCAATGGTGGTCTAGCTTAGATCGTCTCATGAATTTAACTGTTTAAATTAATGTTTGGAATGTTGTACAAATATAAATGAAAAATAACTTCTGTTCATATTCGAATAAAAGTTAATTTGTCATACTAAAGTATTTAGATTATCATCAGTAAGCTACCTTATTCTTAATATGTAGATTAATCAGAAGTATAAGTATTTTTCTTCATTAATAATAGAATTAACTTTCAATAAATTTTACTCCAAATAATAAAGAATTCAGATTTACAATAATAATAGTTAACATTTCAGGCGAAACTATAACTTATGAACGAACCAATCAGGTATAAGATAACAGGTCTCGGATTTTGGCGCAAAATTCAATCATCCATTTGGCTAAATAAAGTTCTAGCATTATAGCTGATGTCAGTTCGTGATGAAAATCTTAAATCTAATTCCTAACCATCAACTGTAAATCATAATTTTCAAATCTCACACTGGTTTATAATCCTCATTTGGTGGACACTCTTAGGGTCACTCAAGTGTCTCTGAAATGTCATCCATAAATTATAGTCTCACTACATTTCATATATCTGACTTCGAAGAATTTTTCGACAAATAGCTTAATTTCATGTGAGTAAAATTCTGAAAATAATATAATCTGTTTTTCAATAGTTGAGATCATGAGTCAATTGAAGCTAGACCACCATTGAAAACCTGAATGCACTGGATGGCAGTTTCGTTCTAGTATGGGACGACCTAGACTTGCTCGTCCACGATCCGGCAAGCGAGACGCGGAACCCAGCTCCTTAACACCTAGACTACTGAGGAGTCCGTTCAGTGCTTCCGGGTCTTCATTGATGGTCTAGCTTAGATCAAATCATGAATTCAACTATTCAAATTACTACAATCTTCAGAAATCCTGATTCTGATAAAAATTAATTATTTCAAACTAATTTTGATTGAGACAATTTCTTGTCTTTACAATTGATTACAATAAGTAAATCAAGATATCTAGTACAAATATGGGGGGGGCTCCTCAGCACTACGCATCCACGATCCCGCCTCGCGAGATTTGAACCCACGACCTACTGGTCTCGCGCACGAGCACTTAACTGCTAGACCAGTGAGGCGGCATCCAACGGTGTTAATGTCTAACTTCAACTAATCCATGAAATTAAGCGACACATCCACCATTGTCATCAGTGAGTTACTATCTCACAACTGACCCGGTTGAACTCCACTGGTCACTGCTTTTCACTAGAACTCCAGGATATACATTGACTTATGATCTCATCTATTGAAATTACTTAAATTGCCACAAAATCACTTCTGATACTAATTTAATTTTGTTCAGATTAATAAATCGGCTTAGAAACAACATATCATTTGTATGATATCCATATTTTCACAAAGCTTAATATGAATATTTATAGATCATTATCTTTATATAAAGTATAAGTTATTTGAACTTTTAAGAGTGAATGATTTTAATAGTGGGTTTTTTTAAAAATTTTACCTTCAGTAGATGAATTAACAATCATTGATTTACTTTAACACACTCAACTACTTTTCAGTCCTTGTTCATTTTTACTATTTTTTAAATTTAATTAATCTAAAGTATTACAATTTTTCAACTAGAACTAGAAAGGAAGGCATAAGACAGAGTGGGTTGGAGAATATTGGTCGGCAGCCTATGATCCACTGGGAGTAACAGGCGTAAGTAAGTAAGTAAGTAAGTAAGAAAGTAAGTAAGTAAGTAAGTAAGTAAGTAAGTAAGTAAGTAAGTAAGTAAGTAAGTAAGTAAGTAAGTAAGTAAGTAAGTAAGTAAGTAAGTAAGTAAGTAAGTAAGTAAGTAAGTAAGTAAGTAAGTAAGTAAGTAAGTAAGTAAGTAAGTAAGTAAGTAAGTAAGTAAGTAAGTAAGTAAGTAAGTAAGTAAGTAAGTAAGTAAGTAAGTAAGTAAGTAAGTAAGTAAGTAAGTAAGTAAGTAAGTAAGTAAGTAAGTAAGTAAGTAAGTAAGTAAGTAAGTAAGTAAGTAAGTAAGTAAGTAAGTAAGTAAGTAAGTAAGTAAGTAAGTAAGTAAGTAAGTAAGTAAGTAAGTAAGTAAGTAAGTAAGTAAGTAAGTAAGTAAGTAAGTAAGTAAGTAAGTAAGTAAGTAAGTAAGTAAGTAAGTAAGTAAGTAAGTAAGTAAGTAAGTAAGTAAGTAAGTAAGTAAGTAAGTAAGTAAGTAAGTAAGTAAGTAAGTAAGTAAGTAAGTAAGTAAGTAAGTATCACGATTTTCCAACATTTGACCCCAAAAAGTTGAATTTCGAGCTAACCACTCAAGTAACAAATTTAAACGTGTTCATTCCAACATGTTAATACAAACTTTTATTTTGTGTTATCAGATTTGAAAGTTCAAAGCTCACTACAGTATGATATTGTGGATAAAGATTATTGAAAACTCTTAAACTAATATAAGATACTTCAAAGTTTTTAATGATTCTCAAGTTAATGTCAATTAATGATTTAATCTAATTTCAAACTAGAAGAATGTACAGAAATTGTTATTGTTA